CACTTTACCTTTTCGGAGACAAAAGTAAATCTCTACCCTTGGAGGCAGACAGTGAGGCACAAGTAGGGCTGTACAGCAGCCATCTATTTTACTGTAACAATCCCCAAAGCAACTGGCATTTATTTTACTGTAACAATCCCCAGATCAACCTAGATTAAACAAAAACTTGGCTGCAGTCTGGAACACTGACTCTTCTTCTATTTCAGCCTTATTTAACTACATCTGGCCTTGAAGAAGCAATCCAAAATTATGGGTGACAGGGTTTCCTATCACTCCCTTCCCACTCCTCATCCTTTCTGACAACAGCCTGCTTTCTGTTCAAGCTTATGCTAAGGTGCTTCTCTTTTTCCTCTATTCCCACTCATTTCACCAAGCATCCAAGCCCTCTCCTGGGTTAAGTGCTGCACTGTGTCCTAGAACGACCCTTTCCAAATTCTTTCCTGCGAAGTCATCCAACAAAATACAGAGCATGCCTGTTACAATACCACTCCACCCTGAGTGCTACCTCGTCTTCCTCTGGCTGCAGAGCAGTCTGTCCAACAGTCTTCTCCAGTAAAATTCCTACTCTGAGAATGGAAAATTTCAGGCACAAACTTTCATAAAGTGACAGTGAAATGAAACCAGAGGAAATCAGCAGAACCTGATGTACTAGTTGGAAACCCTGACCCTCAATGTAACTTCTCGCCAGAACACACTTGTCACAAAAATGTTATTTCCAAGCAAGTCAACTTTGCCCCAAACAGTGTTCCAGCACAGCTCAGACTAATCTAAGAACATTGGCTGTTCTGCTTTCTTTTTAATATGCCTTTGGGCTTCTATTTATCACATAGTAGATAGACAAAAACCACTTGCAGAGTTAAAGCTTTCTGCATTTCCTTTTAAGCCCACAATTTAAAGTGACTATAATCATGTTATAGGAGAATGAATTTTAGAGCAGATTATTGCTTAGTCAGATACTGATTCTCTCTTCCCTCCTCCTCCTGTTTTAAGTTAACTCAATCTTGTCTGTTCAGCCTATTGTAAATTATTCTGACCAAAAACGTATAATCTGGCCTCAGCAATAGTGGAAAGATTTTACAGAAGCATTTGAAGATTAAAAAAATGTTTTCTCAAAATAATGGTTAGCATTTATCAGAAAGAAAAATTCTAAGTTAGTGTGACTCCTTAAGTACCTTTTTAACAAGGCCAGGAAATAAACCACCTACTTTGCAAATAGTTTGGGAACAACTGCATTTGTGGTGCATTAAGGTAGCTGAGTTCCCCCTTCCTGTGCTATGCTGCACAGTTATGGAATCAGAATCCTGCCTTACATTTACCACGTAGGGATGGTCATGGATCAACAGGTTTGGTGTCTCCCTTCTCTCATCTGTTCAGAAGAATCTTCTTTCTGCCAGGCCTACAAAGCTTCCTTCAGAGGTCAGTTCTCACTCTAGATCAACTCAGATCTTGAAAACAAAATTCACAAGACACAGAAAATCACCCCAGCACTAGCCACGGTTTTTCCAAGCACCCAAATACATTTTCTGAATAGCCTTGAGCAGCTCTCTGAAGGCAACAACTTTAAAACCATTACCTGCAAGTATTGTGGAAACCATAAAACCACCAAGGGACAAACACACCTCACATGTTAAAATTTCAGTATAAGCCTACTTTTTTTGTCCTCCCAGAACAAAGCAGTAAGTTTCTGATCTGCTAGCTCATGACAGTTTCTTGGAGACTTATTTTTACTTTATGTGCAAATGGTTGCTTGTAGAAGCCCAGCAGTTTTTCCTGCAGCATGTGCTGCCTGCTTGGAAAGGGCAGGTTTTCTACTGCTTGCTTACTAAACAATTCCACAAGATCCTGAGCAGGCTTCATGTCTTGAATTGAATAAGTTTTCTACTAGCCAAAGTATACTATCACTTCAGTAAAATAAAGTCAGATTTCAACATGAGTATATTATCTGTCAGACATATCAAAAGAGCTCTCTTCAGAGGCTCAAGTAGACTCAATGGCCACAGGTTCATCACACGGAAGTGTTCTACATGCGCCCTAGCATCAGAACAGCAGATAGCTAGCAGGGAAAGTGTAAGCTAACATCAACACCCAATGATTTCTTGGGAGACAGTAATTTTCCTTGCTTTTGTGCAATCTCTAGACAGCTGATACAGCTACTCCAGCATTACCACCATTAGAGCACTGCTGAAATAACCATCTCATTACACACAGTAATGAAACTATATTTTATTATAAGCAAAACCAGCTTTTATATCACCAGCAAACCAAGACCTATACACTTTTCAAAGAGCTACCCATGTAGAAACCATTATACTTTGAAATCAACTTGTACTTCCAATTAGAGAAAAAAATCATGGAGTGTTACAAAAAGAAACAAAACCAAACCCACAAATAATCAGAAAAAAAAATCAGACCTCACATTAATCATGTAGAGTCTGCCATATTGTGGTCCTTCCAGACAATAGTTATTAGCTCCAACTCACAGTATTCCAAAATAAAAGTGCCTGCTAGTTCAAACTTTCTCAATGTATTCTGCTTACCAATTCCAGACAGGCAGTTTGGCAAAACCAATCTACTAGTCCATGTAGTATGCTCTTCAGAACCATTTTAGCATTTCCTTCTTCCAAAAAAACACAAAGCAACACAAAGTCACTGAGTACATATACTGCATCTTTGAGGGGGAAAAGAAAAAAGTGGGGGGGTGTCTGATGCAGTGAGAAAGCTACATAGACAACAGCAGAAGCGTATCTGAGAAGTCTGGAGAAAGGCAGGAAACCATCTTCAGTATTCTGCATGGAAAGGGTAGTCCTTGTGAGTTTTGCACCTGAGGGAAAGCAAAGAGGAGAGATTATCTCGTGTCCAAAAAATACTACATGCAGTTTAGCCACCGTACAGAGCCACCCAGGGCGGAGCTGAACTGCATCAAAGCAGAGTCAATTTGTTTCTGTCTTCCCTGGTGATGTGCTGCTTTTGTAAACACAAAGCTTCTTGAGTGCCTTCTGCTGTTCGGGCTCTGAGCACTCCAAGCAACATGACCTAAGTGCTTTGTAGACAACTAACTCAAGGTTGCACTGCTTACTGCCAGGACAACCTTTTCTGCAGCCTTCTAACAGAGTTCAAACCTGGCTTTAGGCTTCCAAGTTGCAAGTGTTTATCTTACTTTTCAAATGTTCAACCACTCCTGAAGAACAGAGTCAGTTTTTATAATACACCTAAGGGTTCTGGCAGAAAGACAAAATAAATTCCACAAATAAAATTAACCAAGAATTTGAGTCTCCGTCACGCTCATTTCTCCAATATGGGCAAAATAAAAATTAGGAATAAGAAGCCTCCTGTTGCAATTCCAGCTACCAAAAGTTTCTGGGAGACTGAACTGAAAACAAATCGGACGTTTGCTTTATGCTCATCATGATTTGGTTCGTAACACAAACATTTAAAAATCTAACTCTGGAAAGTTATTTTGAGGATGACTCCTTTGGAAATTAAGTTGACATATCCTGAATTTCAACCAAGCCTAGTATCTATAGCTTCATATACTAAATTATGACATACTGAAAACTTAAGAGCTTGAAAAAACCCACCACTGCTGCCACTTACGTGTTCATTTCACAGACTCTCCAGTTTCTGTTAAAGCTGAGAATGGTTGCCATCTCCTCCTTAGTCAATTCAAAGTCAAACACCTGGCAAGAGAAACAGCTGGAAATCACCTCTCTGAATAAATCCGAGATTGTAAGCAAGAGTCACAAAATTAAAGAGCAAGTCCACAGTATAAGGGTGCTTCTTAGAAGAAATGACTGCTTCATGAAGGAGGGAAAGGAAAAGGTCTCTGGATTTCTGAGACTGCACTAGCTGGAATTGGAGGGAGAGGTGAGCAGGGAGAGGGAGAAATTTAAAAAAATCTCGAGCTGCAGTTACATGTGCCAGTTGTTTTAAGCAGTTTGGAGAGCACTCTATGTTGCAGAAGGCCTCCTATCCTCCACTTGTGAAAGGTGCATTCTTCTGTTGTATTCCAAAAGGAACATCTTCACATTCCACCTATTGCAAATAAGTGTCTTGCAAAATCCTAATACTGGTTTCAGCCAAGGACCACTGAATCAAGAGCAGCGACATGGTTTACAGACACCAGGACTATTTTCTTAACAGCAGTTGCTCTACATCAGCCTTTTGTGGTATGCTCCTGCACTCAGGCCCCAAGCAAGCTCTGCTCAGCTGATTCATCCCCGTGATACAGAACAGGAAGCATCCCATAACATGACTGCCAAGATTACCAGCATGCTGTTTCCAAAAGCTTTGTTCACTCCTGCTCTCCAACTGCAACCTTAAGTTTAGCCCGCTGCAGGTGAACACAGAGAAAAAGCCCAGTCCTCTGGTCTGAGGAAGACTTAGGAAGGGTGAGAAAGGACCACTGCTCGCTCAGCAGGGGGAAACCATGCCATCCCTGAACATGCCATGCACCCAGGTCACTCCTAATGACCCACCTTGAAGTTCTCCACAATGCGCTCTGGTGTGACAGACTTGGGAATCACAATCACGTTTCTCTGGATGTGGAATCGAATGAGAACCTGCAAGAGGCACATCACTGAGTCAGAGAGAAGACAGCTTTCGTGCTATGGCAAAAGCAGAACCTGCTCCAACAGTTGTTTGCTGAAAACTGTACAATTCAACAGAACTAACCCATTTCTACAGAGCTGCATTTCAGATCGTACCTGAATTTTAAACGGCACTTTCTGAAGTGCCAATACAGACATGATGGAACCCCACATAGAGGCCTCCGTTCCCATTCAAGTTCAGTGATACACAGCTCCGTTCTTTCCCACCTCAAGTTTTAGTAGGCTATGCAAGGAAAGGTTCACTTCTTTGCAACAGGACTCACGACAGGAAGACTGAAACAGGATAGCATCTGAAGACAGGTCAAGAAAGTGTTTCTTGTTGACAGTCAAAGAGCCCTTACAAGCATGTACGGAAGGCCATAGAGCAAACAAACCTACACTGCTACTTTACACCACAGAAGAGCACCACAGCTGACAGGTAATGAAGAGCCAGCCTCTCCTTTACATCCTCGTTAGACATCCTTTATGCTGCATCACAGCAAGGGGTACCCACTGCCTGGCACCTACTTACCTGTGCTGAGGTTTTGTTGTGCTTGGCTGCAATCTCTTTGATCTTGGGGTCATCCAGAAGGGAAGGATCCTCCGGCTTAGCCCTACACAGAGAAAAGAATATCAGTGGCAAGAAACTGCAGTAGATCCAACCTGGAAGAGATCTGTACACAGATGAAAAACTCATGATGCACTTGTGGCCTCAAAGTTTCAAGCGTAATCCACGCCAGCTCCCTTGCCAACTGCAGAGCCATCTTACCACGGTCTGTCAGGAGAGCCAAGGGGGCTGTACGCTGTCACAGCAATCCCTTTGGATTGGCAGTACTTGATCAGCTTCTCCTGGGTAAGGTATGGATGGCATTCAACCTGTTGACATAAGAGTACAAATACTGATAGTGATTTAACTGCTTTAACAGGTTCCAAGGATTAGTTTTCAACCAAATCAAAGGCTGATTTTTGTTCTAATTTATAGTCTCTTCTGTGTGATACTATACAGCCTTTGCTTTCTGTATGCCCCCACTCCCTTTCTACTATTTATAGCAGCTCTCTTTGCCATGAAGGGTCCAAGGACTGTAACACCACTCCTTAAAACTTTGCTGATCCCTGTAATCTCCAATATATGAGATCAACAGCTACATAATTGCTTAAATGGGGCAGTTTAGTAAAACGTACACAACTGCAACTGTAAAATGATAACAATAGGATAGCAGACCAGTAAGTACAAAGTTCTCCTTTCATCCCTAATTAAACATGCTATAGTTTTTTTTTAAAAAAAAACCTGCCACATAAACTTCAATATCAACATCGTTTCATTCGTTTCTGTTTGCTTTGTGTCAATACTCACGCTGAATACCTCTGCTCTGCAAACAGTGGGAACGGCTGACTGCTACAGATTTTAGACCTTCGGCTTACTGCCCATTATAGCCTTTTTATAAACCCATGTGTGCTTACCATGAACTTCCATAAGAACATCTACATAGCAGAATACAAACTCCTCAACAGTGGACTGGTATTCTGGCAAACTAATGCACAGGTACACAGTATGAAACAAGAATTATTTATCTCAAAGCAGGCAGTGAATGAACACTCTGATACTTTGCATAGAGGGACTTTCAGGGTGGTTCCACCCCAGCAAGCACTAGTTTTCTTCCAGCAGGCAACATCAAGATACTTTCTACACCATGATTCCAGCCTTCTGGAGCTTTCTGAGGGAAGTCCCTGGAGACTTGTGCACTACACTGGCAGGTGGAGCAGCACAGTGCAAAACATGGGATCAGTTTACAGCTTCGAGTGCTTTATTTGTGGTTCTGGCTGCTTGCTGTTAGCAGAAGCCTACATGGCTGAGTTCCCATTCTGGGACATGCTGGAATATTAGACACTAGGACATGTAACTCAGTTTTTGGGACCAATGATACATATTTATTTTGCTTCAGCAGTTGCAGAAACACAACTATAAGAGTAACAGAGCATCTCATTATTTTTCTCAACTATTTCAAAGGTAGAATTTATGCAATATAAGCCAGGCAAAGTCATCCTTACCTGTCCACTGGCACTCAAATTGAAAAACTTCTGAGCTATGTTATCTAGTCTTATGTTTCAATCAGGGTGAAAACCCTGTGATGTACATTAAATGGTTCTGATGTACATTAAATTGTATTGATGTACATAAACAAGTACCTTAAGCTATTGCAATCCACACTATGTTATAATGATCAAGTACTTGAGTCAGATTTCCTACTCAATTAAGCACTAGTATCATTGTAATGTAATTACTACCTTGCCAAATTAATTTCTCACCATGAAAGAGGCCAACATGCATACTCACCATATCCAATTAAGAATGGGAATGACAGCAAATACAGGGGATTACTGGATTACACATGAAACATCTGCACAGAGAAAGCTTTTGCAAGAAGCACTATCACTAGTAGGCCAACTAGTAAGAGTTAATAACAGACAAGCTACAGTGGCAATGAGGTGTAGCAGATGTTGGAAGGTATCTTAAGACTTTTATTAAGTATCCTGAACTAACTTTGGGACTAATAACGAAAACACCCAGGAGAGAATTACGAATTTTGCACTTGTCAGAAGGCTTCAGTTTCTTGTCAAACTGACTTCCAGAGAACAATTCTATTCGCTTTCTGAAAAAAGGTGCTAAAATATCTTTTCAGTACCTCTGCTCTAGCTACCACATAAGTTAACCAGTTCTTGTAACCACCTATCAAAAACTGAGACTGCAGTCCTTCAAACACCACAGCAATCAAGGACAAGTTTACACAGATGCCACAGGGATCTATCCTGGGACTTGTCCTCTTCAACCACCTGTGACAGGCTCTAGTCTCATCAAGTCAGCAGGTGATGCCAAACTGGGGGAGGACCAGTCAATACACTCAAGGCCAAGGCTGCCTCTTAAAAAACCACTCAGGCAGGAAGAACAGGCCAGCAAAAACCTTACAAAATTCAAGGCAGCTGCACACAAAATCCTGCACCTGGAAAGGAAAAGCCTCTGGCAATAACACAGGTTGGAACCTGACTGCCTGCAAAGCAACTCAACTAGGAGAAAAGCTGGAGGCCTGTCCTGGTTTCAGCTGGGACAGATTTAGTTGTTCTTTTTAGCAGCTAGAAGAGCTCTGTTTTAGGGACTCGTTAAGAGAATAATGTTGATAGTGCACTGATGTTTATAGGTGGCACTGAGAACTCAAGGACTTTTCAGCTTCTCATGTTCTTGCCAGTGTGCAGGGGCACAAAAGGATGGGGGGGGGAGCACAGTCAGGACAGAGGGGCCACAACTCTACTTATGATTTGAATTTAGGATTGAGGCCAAACTGCCCAATGGAGCATTCCATATCATGCAGCATCATGCCCAGTAGAAAAGTGAGGGTTAACCAGAAAGAAGGGCCTTTGCTCTTGCAGGGGCTCTCTTTCTCAGAGCGCACTCTCTCTCTCTCAAACTCTCTTTTCAGATCTCTCACATCTGGGATTGCAGCATCAGGACTTAATGTGTTTTGGAATCATTAGTCCAGGACAGGATGGCTCTTGGTCACCAGGTGGTTTACAATTACACTGTGCATCACTTGTTTATGTAATATTATCACACATATATATATACTCATATGTTAGTAGCAGTATTAAATTGTTCTTATCTCAACCCACAAGTCTCCTTCAGAGAAGGGAGAGTAATCCATACTGGCTGAGCCTCTCCACTGAGCAGGGGCAGAAATAAAAAGAAACCTGAAACCAGGACAGGGCCATAGCAGGCTGAGCTGAACATGAGCCAGGAGTGTGCAGTAGGAAGACAGCCAGTAAACTGTGGGAGCAATCATCTGCCTCTACTCAGCTGTCAGACCACGTTTATAATACCATGTCCAGTTTTCCTCCCTTCCCAGCCCTCTCAGAAGAAAAATTGACAGACTGTCATGAATTCAGCAAAGGGCCACCACAACAGCTGGGGGCTGGAGAACCTGCTGTACTGGGAAAGGCTGAGGGAGCTCAGCTTGTTCAGCTTGGCAAAGGGAAGGCTTCAGGTCTCCTAGTGGAAGTTTTTTAATACCTAAAAGAAGGTTATCCAAAGACAAGACAAGCTCTTCCATGGTGTATGGGGGGAGGACGAGACAACAGGCACAAGCTAAAACAGGAGAGGTTGAGACTGGTTATAGGACTACTTTCCCCCTTCCCCATACAGCCAAGGCAAGGGCTCAGGCAGTGGAGCACACTGCCTGGAGAGACTGAGCATTCTCCATCCTTGCAGGTTTTCAAGGTGGTTTAAAGCCCTGGGCCACCTGCTCTGATCTCACAGCTCATTATGTCCCAAGATCTCCTACCACCTGAATTTTCCTAAGATTTTATTCAAGTGCTGTTTATACTCCTGGACACTTCTACTCTATGGCTTACCTTGCAACTCCAGTTCCTCTTTCCTCCTAACCCTCACTAAGTCTGTAACCAGTCCATAAAGGATGTTTCTGTTCAATTCCCTCAGTTATCAGCAACAGGAACTGATCCCTCCCTAGAGGAGTTGCAATTCTTTATTAGGTCCTCATATATACACACTAAGTTTTACTCTACTTAAAGGAAGTTTTTAAAGCTCATCTAAGTTCACCCCCATTCCCATCCCTTCAAAAAAAGGGATTCTAGAGCTGCTCCTTGCCAGACTTCCAAGCAGCAGTGTATAAAGTCCATAAGAAAAACAGCACTTTATGCATCCAGAAGTAGTCAAAGGGTGGGACTGAGCAAACATGCTGTCTACTCTATTCTTTCTATAACCTTTTTGCATAAGATCTTAGTAATTCTTAAAAAAACAGAAAGCAAACCACACACCACAAAACAACACTCGAGCATTTGTCTGCTGTCACTTGGCAGTTCACCTGGTTATTTGCAGGCTTGTACTTCAGTCCCGGCTTGTTCAGGATTCTTTCAATCTGCTCACGGTTAAAGTTGGAGATACCAATGGCTTTTACCAGGCCAGCATCCACCAGCTCTTCCATGGCCTAACACAAAGACAAGCAAAGTGAGCATCTAGTACACATGACAGGGCCTGAAGAACCCATACTTCCTGACACGGTTTATTTCCTTAATGAGAAGCAAAAAATAACCATTTAGACTTTTAGAGTTCAAGTTTGAGGAAAGAAATCAGAGCACTAGTGTATCCGTGCCATGTCTCCCATTTCACCAAAGCTCAAAGACTCATTCTTTGAGCCTGTGGAAATTCACAGTAATTTAGAAGTGGAAGATAACAATACTCAACAATGCACTGTTCTACCAGCAAGTCCTTCCAAGTAGTTCTACATACATGAGAAATGAAAAGATGGAATAAACTGGTTAGGACAGAAGACATGATTCTCCTGCTGTGGCTAAACCTACCTCCCACGTATGTCGAATATCCGTGTTGCTGGGTATGGACATGCCTTTGTCATCTGTGGGAAACAGGTCCTCTCCTGCCTGTCAATGACAAAGAAAATGTTTAACACACTTTTTGGTGGGAAGTTAGGGTAACATCAGCTGAAGACCACGATGCCACAAACTCCTACTCCAGGACATACTAATACTTATTATCTACATGTCCTTTAGATAATACTAATACTTATTTGTCTACATTCTTCAGTCTTTTCTTTTGCTTTCATACAAGACTATGGCATCTTTGCCCACAACCATCCCAGTAAGGACAGGTACTTCTGCTGGACACAGCGTCCTCTGGCTCACCAAAACACACACGGTGAAACATAACTCTCCACTTGTAGAGCTATAGCCAGTTTACAGGCTTACTTTCTGTATTACAAAAATACACAGTTCTTATATGGACAGAATGAAGTGGTTGATTAAAATGTGTAATTAAGAACCCACTTAAGATCTGGAACGTGTTCAGTCTGTATTGGACCAGATCTGCTGACAGATCTTTCTTGGGGAGACTCATTGTTCAAGTTGCTAGCATAGGGCATGTTAAAAGAGCCTGTGTCCCAGTCAGGACTATGTGCCAGGTATCAACTTCATTCAAAACTGGTTGTTTTCTATTGCTACATTACTTCAACACATTTTCACTTTGTTAGTTCTGACCATATGAAACTATTTTTAAACATATAGATGCTAGGAAAAACAGTCAATCTCAGAAGCAGTAAGTAGAAAGAAGATTCTGATCAGGCCCTAACAGAAAGGCTAAGCTTAGAAACATTCTAACCAAGACATCCGTTCCTTTGCATGCAGTCTTTAGAGTCAGGAACTGAAAAGCCAAGGGCGTTGCTGCTACTGTACCTTAAAACCAACAGGCCAGTGGATGAGGTAGAGATCCAGGTAATCCAGTTTCAGGGCAGCAAGAGTCTTCTGGCACGCTCCCTTCACCAGAGATTTTTCATGAAACGTGCACCACAGCTAGAGACAAAAAGCCAAGGCACACCGTGACCTCCTGGGTTAAGCCTCTTGGAACCCTTCTGTCCCCTTTGGAAGGTGATGTGCATCTAGGTCATCCTACTATCTTCAACCAGGACTTGCTTTGGGAGTGAGGCTGGCCCACGATACTCAGGGCACTACATGCAGTGGCACAGGCATGACTAAGTAGTGTCAAGGCAGACAGCAGAAGTAGTCTAGTTTCATTAAGATTCCATTTAAAAGCATCTACCAGAAGGTCAGATGCTGCATGAAAGAGAAGAGCATAACTTCATGCCAGGAAAAGTTCAAAGCATACCCATGTCAGCAGTACGTATCCTCCACAATTCTCCATATAGGATGACACAAATTAAGGAAGCTTGTCTCAGGAGGGGCCTACATGATGTTCTGAATTGTTCCATGCTGCATCACAGTGTAGGAAAGTAAAGAACTAGAGGGTTACTGCCAAAAAAAAACAGGTGTCTCCTAGAACCCTGTACTACCAGATCCATACCTTACTGACAATGAAGAGATCTTCTCGTTTCACAACACCTTCCTTGATTTTTTGCTGGATCCCTTCCCCAACTTCATTTTCATTCTGGTACACATAGGCACAATCAAAGTGACGGTACCCAGCATCAATAGCAGCCGTCACTGCAGCTGTTACTTTCCCTGGTGGGGACTGGAAAAAAACAAAAAATATCCAACAAACACTAATCAATATGTACCAAAGGCCTTTTCCCTAGCAAGATAAAATTAAGAAAGGAACTGCAGCTAAAGCAACCCCTTAATTAAAATAAAAAATTACACCAAGAGCAGTACAAAGCCTCTCTCTGCCCTGCAGCATTTTAAAGCCTGTTTACACCTGGAATACGGGCTCCGGAAGTCAAGGCCAGTCTCCAGCCGCCCCTCCATCACCCCACTCCCACGCGGAGCTCGGAGGGGAGAGAAGGACTCCCGGTACCACGGGCCGCAGCGACATCACAGCCCCGAGACGGGAACGGCAACGGCAGCGCGGCCCGGCCGCGATGTTGGGGACGCCGAGCACAGACCCGATATGGCGGCAGAGACGAAATCCGACCCTGCAGGGACAGGGCCGCCCCCAGCTGCACTCCCTTCTCTCCTGCAACCAGGACCGAGCACCACGACCACCCTCTCGCCACCAGCCCCATTACCTTCCACGTGCCCAGCCCTAGGATGGGCATCTTGGCCCCGGTGTTCAGCTGCACGAAGGTCGCCATCGCCCTGCGCAGCGCTCAGCACGACGGCTGCGGCTG